AGAGAGAGAGAGAGAGAGAGAGAGAGAGAGAGAGAGAGAGAGAGATATGGAGGAAAAAAAGGAAAGAAAAAGGATAAAAATTTGCATAGAAAAAAGGACCAAAGACAAGTGGGAGAAAAAAACGTTTAGTATGGGTTGTCTGATTTATCCAAGTTTCTTTTTCCAGTAAAGAAAAAAAACCCCGCACTGTCCGAACGGTATTCTCAGCAATCCATTGTAATGTAGCAAGAGTGCAACACTGTGTTTACACAGCTGGTCTTAATTTCTTTCTTCTAGAGACTTTATCATCAGTTCAGTATTATCAAGAAAAAGTCAAGGTCAATTCTTCTTAGCCAGCTTCCTTTTATCTTTTTCAGTCAACTTCGTTCAGTCAACTTTGATTTACCACTAAATGGCAATGCAAACAAATAATTCATCGTATTTATCCTTTAAATTTAAATCTTTAAATTCACAGCTTCACTGCAAATCGAAAGCAAATCTCAAGAGATTGTCAAAAGTTACTAGAAAAGAACAAAAGCGCAGTGTGTGTCAGGATTCCAATTTGCTTTCTAGCCCTTAAACAGTTAAACAGTTCTATTGTTCCTTTTCATTTACTAATGGCTTCATCTGTCTGTTCGCTGCTGATCCGTGGGTAGAAGAGCTTTCTAATGCCAATTGCCCCCATTATCTCTTGCCACTCTTTCTTTAAAAAAAATTTCAACCAGAGGTTAAAGTTAATTACAAGAATGTTGTACTTTCAAGCAATCTTGTTATCTCACCCAGATGAAGCACTTCACTGTTTTTCCAAACTGCTCAGCGTAGAAGGTCATAATGGCTGCTTTCCCTGCTTTGGGTCTTTAAGCAAATTGCAGGTGTTTTGTGGGAGTTGGGTGGTGGTTCTCCTACCACACCCACTTGTGCTTCCCCTCTTCACTGCATTCCCAAGGCAGCTATGGTTAAACACCCCCTCAAACAGCAGGGAATCTGATGATTCTTCAGAGAGCCCCCTAGAGCAGTGTTTTTCAACCTTTTTTGTGCAAAGGCACACTTTTTTCATGGAAAAAATTACGAGGCACACCACCATTAGAAAATGTTAAAAAAAATTAACTCTGTGCCTATATTGACTATATATAAAGTAATTCTCCCACGGCACACCTTACACTATGTCACGGCACACTAGTGTGCCACGGCACAGTGGTTGAAAAACACTGCCCTAGAGAACATGTCCTGTTGCCGAGATTCAGGCCACACACACCTCTTTCAAATTAATATTTATGAGGAAGATCCATATTGAATATACCCAAGAAGTCCCATAAGCTAAACAAACTGTCTTAAAATATAAAATAGTTTGCTCTAACTTATCAGCTTAAAATGTTCATAAACCACTACACTGGTATTTAGTATTTTTATTTTCAAATATCAAACCTTTTGCTTTGAGAACTGTGAGTTATCATAAAGCTGAAAAGTAGTGGCAGTCACTATGAATATGCTCTGAGCTGCACAATAAAGAATATGTTGACAAAAATTGTGTATTATATGTATGTATATATTTGTATACTATATAGCAATCATTTTATTCATGGAGTAGTCATATTGATGTGACAGAAAAACATGAAATGGAGCAACTGTTATTTATTGAAACTACTAGCTTCAGCTAAATACAGAGTGGTTGGAATTTTTTAATCTTTCAAACAGCAACTTCCTTTTTACCAAATATATAAGTAATATATTTTAACTTTTGCATTATGTAATTCATGTATTAATTTATTATTGTACCAATAAATAAATTTATTAAATGCAAAATATTAAAAGAACACAAATACTGCACTACACATTTTATAATTATTTCTAGCTAATCACAGTATTTATGGAGGTAAAGTTGTGATATTCTCTTTTAGGCTTGAATCTTTTACATGTATTTCTGAGTATAATATCAGTTTGAAAGAAAGATCCACTGTCTGTAATATACTTGTATCATGTCCTACTGAATAATAATCCTTACCTCTTGTACTAGGGAAGGAATTGTTAAGCTGTTCCATGACCTCTTCTAACCCTGGGCTTGTGGCCAGGGGAGGACTTAGTAGATCCTCCTCACCTAATAAAAAGAAAAGCAGAAGTATACTTCATCTATTCTACCACAGCATTCATCTATTAGTGTGTACAATAATTGGTTTAGAATATACAAAGCCATTCCAATTCATATGCTACAGATAAGTAAAACTTGATTATTACTCCTAGCATATTTATGTAGGTTTTTGGGGTACAAAACAGTAACATAGCTGTAATATTTTTAATAGTAAAGAAATGTGTTTAAGAATAGTATATTTAATCTACTATGTTCTTAAGCTCTCAGAAGAGAAGAATGTGGATTTTATATTACCACCTGCATAAGGTTTTATGTGTGTGTGTATGGGGGGAAGACATTTTTTTATTTTAAAGCAAGATATATATTGTGTGAAATATCTCTAATAATAAAGCAATAGAATTATTGTATCATAATGCACCCAAGTGCCAACTAATTGAGGTGATCAATGATGGTATTTTTGTAGACTTTAGCAGATAATGAACAAGTGAATCAATAGTCATATTCTTACAAGATGCTATTCATCAGGATTCCGTGGAAATCTGTAGTAATCATTAGGATGGCACCAGGTTGAAGAAGTACAGGTATTCTGGTCCACTACAATCGTACCTTCCTCACTGGGATACTTCTGAAGTTGAGCCTTGGATTCAATTGTTTGCATTCTAATGTTGGACCAGACAATGCTTTTTCTTGATACATTTCTTCCACTGTTTAATAATAATCTATGTGAACTTTCAAAACTATTCTTGAGCTCTGCAAATAAGTATCCTTAATACTTCTGTTTACTTAGCAAGATCAAAAGCAGATTTATGATTGAATGACAGAGTATAATGAACACACTGGCACTGACATAATATAGCAGTATGAATTTCCATGCTGAAAGTGGTATTTGAGCGAAAACAGAAAAACTGTAAATAATATAAAATTCAATTTTACTCCTGTTGTTATGGTCCAACCATTTACTAGAGAGAAATAGGACAGAGCTTGCTAATCAGTCCACTGGGACAGGGAATCTGTTAAGATGGTTTGCTTCTAAGGTCTTCTAAAATTCTACATAATTATGAATTCTTCAAAGAATTCCAGATAGCAAAGCTGATGATTGAACCCTAACTGATAATGGAACACTGAGATAACTCAGGATTGACGTTATTGGTCCAAACTATGCTGACACAAAATGCAGTGTTCAGATAGCAACAGAATTTATCATTGAACTTTGAGGGATAAAATGTTTGGGAGATGAGTAGCATACAAATTTCAACCATGTGTTGAATTGCGTTGCTATGACTGTAAATAACTTTCTAGCTGCATTGTATACGGAACTATCTTTGGGTTATTATGTTATTAGTAGCTTCCATGTAAGGTCCTGCCTCTCCCTCCTGTTCAAGAAGGCATTGGACTCTCGAAACGTTAGCATTTCAAAAGGAAACTTTTATTGAAAGGAAGTGAATTCAAAACAATGCAAAGAAGGTCTGAATTACCCCCAGGCAATTCTGTTAGAATATGTTTATGTTTATGTTTATTCAATTTGTATGCCGCCCTATTCCCGAGGGACTCAGGGCGGCTAACAAACAGAGGGGAAGGGGAGTACACACAGGAAAACAAAAAGACAAGCAAATTAAAACACAATAACAGTCGCAATAATTCAAGTGGGGCTGGGAAGTCATCAGCCCCA